GAGAATGGTAATGTGGACCTCCTCCAACCCTACTAGGGATGCTTAGTCTACCTCATCTGAACACTTAGAGGCCACAATTTGCAGCATAACCTAGATCTGGGAACTCACGGCACAGAGAAATGCAGTAATGGACCTTGGGATATATAGCTTTCTAGAAGTCCTTTTGCTGTGGCCATCCCCATCCTCTACTAGCTTTCAGACCCTCAGGGCACTGGCGTCCGTGCCTAGGGTGGGCTCAAGGCCTGTCTCATAGAACAGCCTCACCCAATAGATTAGTGTGCTAGAGCTGCCAAAACAGAATACTATAGACTAGGGGGTGGAAACAACAGACATTTATTTTCTCACAAGTTTTGGAGGCTGGAAGTCCAAGACTGAGGCATCACAGGTTAGGTTTCTCCTGAGGCTTCTCTCCTTGCCTTGTGGACAGCCACCCTCCCACGGTGTACTCACATGGTCTTTTCTCTGTGGTTCACATTCCTGGTGTCTCTCTGCATCTTCATCTCCCCTTCCCACAAGGACACTAGTCAGACTGGATTAGGACCTACTCTAAAAGCCTCGTTTTAACTTAATCACCTCTCTAAAGGCTTCCAAATACAGTCAGATTCTGAAGTCCTGGAGGTTAGGGCTTTAATACATGAATCTGGCAGGGGAGGCACAATTCAGCTCAAAACACCCAACAACCGGTGATAGGACCAGCATTTTTAAGCTGGAAACAGGGAAGACGAAAGGAGAAGAGAAAACGTACCCAACAGGAGGATGAGCTGACATTCTCTGACCCAGAACAGAGAATTCAGAACACTCTAGAACTGCTGATTGCTGGGGAGCCCAGGTGGCTCAGTCAGTTAAGTGTCCGACTCTTGATGTCAGGGTCCTGGGATGGAGTCCTGGGTCCTCATCGGGTTCCACAGGAAGTCTGCTTGAGGATTTCTCTCCCTCTCCTGTGCCCCTCCCCCCACTCGTGTGTGCATGCTCTCTCTCTCTCTCTCAAATAAATAAATAAATCATTAAAAAAATAAAATAAAATTGCTGATTGCCAATTCTAGTTTTATGGCCAAGTAAAAGAAAAGGCTACCCCACACATGACACTAAAATCTCCCCATACTCACTCTCTGTCTTCTGTATCTAATTTATTTATGGCAGAGAAAATTACTAACATCACTGGCGAGGGAAGCAGATGGCACCCTTTGATACGCAGCAGTCTTAAGGTTGCCGATAAGGGAAATCATAGGCAACAGCAAAACTCTATGGTGGGAGCTCCATATGAGTGAAGTGCTTTTTGTCCTATGATAATCTACTGAAGGGATCATTTATGCTACCGTCAAACAGCTTAATCCGTCCTCCTATTAGCTAACATTCTTATGCAATCTCCATATAATCTTTACTTTCTAGGAAATCCCAAGCCCAACGGATAAACCCTTTGAAACCCAAATCTGATTTTCTTCAGCACACCCAGAAAAAGGCACACATCTTCGGGTAAGCAAGGAGAAAGAAAAATGAGAAGAGGAAGAGATAAGCAGAGGAAGGAAAGAGAAAGAAAAATAGAGTGTCCAGAACAAGGGCTAGATTCAAGTTTGGCATCTATCACAGGGCATACTCAGCAATGAAAGGGGACAGGGACAAGCGGGGAGGGAGACAGTTTTCCAGCTTCCTGAGTCTTGCTGTCACTATGTGGCTTCATTATCTGGCTTGAGAAATTGGGAGTTCTTCCAACCAGAAGTGTAGATAATTGAGAGTTATCAAATAAAGACAAAGAACCACCATGAACATGTATCAAATGCTTGTTCAATCAGCCCAGGCATCATGGACTCCTTGGCCAGCGCTCAGTATTACCTCAACCCTGAACACAAAACAACTTGAACCCAACTTAACATGACTTATCATGAAGCAGGGACCAAAAGGTCTCAGGCTGTTCCAGGATGAAACTTCTAGGATTACGGCATCCCCCTGGGGAATCCTCAGTGAAGCACAAAAGAATCTTAGGGCTGTGTCAGGGTCACCAGCTTTCTAGGTTCACCTAGGCATCTCTGTTTTGTGACAACCTACACTTCTGTGTTTGTTGGTGATGAAGGGGATCTGGTACACAGTTAATGTTATACTGTGAAGTGTATGAGAATTATTTATAAATTACTGGTGGACTTTATTGTGAGAAAGATTATATTTAACAAAAACTATATGTAATTAAAAATTAATTGATATTTGAATAAGGGCTGTTGATTAATTAATATTATGGTATCAGTATTAATTTCCTAATTTTGATAATTGTGCTCTGGTTATAGCAGATACTAATATTTGGGAAAGCAGAGTGAAGGGTAATGGGAATTATTTGACTACTATTTGCAAATTTTTTATAAGCTGAAATTACTTCAAAATGAAAAGTTAAGAGAAGATTTTCAAAGATTTAAAGAGGTAATTCAAGAACTTTATCCATATGTTGTGTTCTGGGGGCCTGGACCCAGGAAAAAAGCACCTCTTTGGCCTCTCTCCTTTGCTGCCGAAGTGATAAATGAACGAATGTGAAAGTCCTCGCTAAAGTAAACTCCTAAACAAATGGTAATAGTAATAATTATTGTCTCATATGGAAATGCTTCTCTATAAATAAAAGGAGGAACAAGCCATCATACTGAATACCCTACCAGATATTCTCTAAGTAGCTTACAAAATGCTTAGAAATTGCTGTCCTGGGGATCCATTGACTGGTTTTGAACAAAGCAGGCATATAACAACAATATTTCCGGAAGGTTCATCAAGACTTTAGTACAAAGGATGGATGGAGTAGGCAGAGCCCAGACTCAGCAAATGCCACTATGAGTTAGTCTAATAACTGAGGAGTGAACAATCCTTACTGAATGGGCGTGGAAAAGAAGAAACCCAGAGGAGAGGCATTTTAAAGGACTAGCCTGGAGGTGGGGGTGAGAGGGAAGAAATGAGTCAGTGGTTACTTGAAGATGTCTAGCCAAGATGACTGCAGCAATGCTGGTGTCACTGAGAGACGGATGGAAAATGGAAGGAAGGAGACCCCATACACAGAGCTTGGGTTGGGAACTCAAGTGGCTCCAGAAGCTAGGCAGGTGCAAAGGGGGGAGGACAGGCAGTGGGAGCTGCAAACCTGAAAGGGGGCTGTCACAGCTGGGCATCAGCAGTCCTTGCCCTGTGGGATTGCACTTTCTTTCCATGTTACCAGATCTCCCATTTTTTTCAAGAGAAGCTAGAAACTCAGAACTCTTAAGTGAAATCTCTTAACCCTTTAAAGTTGGCAATTAATTTTAAAAAATTTTAAAGCATTGTGTGTGCCAAACCAGACACATCTGTGGACCAGATTCGGAAGGCAGGCTGTCACTTGTGACCTTTGGCAAAGACAGAAGGTTAAGGGTCAAAGTTCACTGTCACTGTGATACATAGGGAGTTAGGTGACTGTAAAGGGATTCAGTAACTAAAATACTGTGCTTAAAGTTTCCGTCAGCAATCTGAGCTGTATGAATGTCCCTACCCTTCAAGTCTATATATGGATTTGAATTTATACAGGAAGTTTAATCTAATCTTCAAATGGTTAAATCACAAGAATTTGAGTGCTTACTGTGTGCTGAGTACACAGAAGTCAAGGAATTTCAGATCTAACTGCAGAAGAAAAAAATCACGTCCTCCTGAAAACTTGAGACGAATTTTGGAACAGCCCGGGAGACTCCTTTCTCCACATTATGCTAGAATATCAGTCACCTTAAATCCTGGATACCCCGCAAATCACTTCCATTTGGCAAACTTGGAATAATGGGTGTGTGGCGTGTGGGGTGGGGTGGGGTGTGTGTGTGTGTGTGTGTGTGTGTGAATCTGTAACCAGAAATCTGATTTCCTGGGCAGTGGTTACAAGGCGGCAGCCCCCAGTCTTCCCTCAGCGTAGGAGGGGAGCTAACTGGGTTGGGGGTACCCGGGCGCGGGAGAGGAGGATGGGAGTGGCTGGCTGGCAGAAAACCGCTCGCCGTCAGGTTTCTCCGCTGGAATCCCAGTCTTTGTCTCTGTCACTACTTCAAGGGTTTGTGTAGGAGAAGGCAGGCACCAAAATAGAAAGTGTCAAAGAGATGGTGACAACGAGGATACAAACAAGGCAGGACTTTTTCTCAGTTCCACCTAGCGCCCTCCGTCCAGAAGGCCAGCGCGCCTCCTCCTGCGGTCCTCCAAGAGCCGCGGTGGGGCAGGAAGCGGCCGGCTGGGGCTGCGGGTCCTCCTGGGAGCGCCGCGGTTTCCTCCCGAGCTGCCCAGTTATCTCCAGAGCCGCAGACCAGCTCTCCGAGGAGCGCGTCCTCCCGCCCTCCGCCCCCCCCTCCCCGTACTCCTCAACCCACCCACCTACTTCCTCCGGCCCCGTACACACGCAGCACGGAGCTGCCAAAAATTTCCACCCTCCGCCCCCCTCCCTAGCTAACTTCCTTCCAGCATTTCCTGAGCTGGATGATCCTAGGATTTGTAAGACAGGAAAAAAAGGAAGGCGTGAGGGCGGGCGAGAGAGACAGGATGCTTGTTTGTCGCGTTCCCAAAGCCATCTGAAGGCAAGACAGCGGGCGCAGGGCAGAGGAGCCACGCAGCCCCCGGGCTGTCTCCTCGCCCCCCGGCTGCTGCCCGCTTCCCGCGCTCTCGTCCTCTGCTGGGCATCTGCAGAGGCGGAAAGGAGAGCTCGCCCTCCCTCCGAGGCGGAGGAAAACACCCGAAGACACCGCAGGAGCCCGTGAAAGTCCCTGGGACTCCAAGTGAGGAAGTGACACTCCCGCCGGCCGGCCCGCGGCCGCCAGCTCCGCCCGGCCTCCGGCCCCGCGGCCCTGGAGGAGCTCGCGGTGGACTGCAGGCTCCGCGGCCGCGCCGGGCTCAGCGCCCCGCGGGGTCCATGCGCGCTGCCCCGGGCCGCACTTCCTCCGCGCGCCCATGCGGCCCCCCAGAGCCGCGCCGCAGCCCGTGATCTGAGCCCGGAGACCATCCTAGGCGCGGTGCCAAGCACAGGGGAGGGGGAGACGGAGGGGCAACCTCTTTGGGACTAACTCATGAAGAACAAGGGTGCCAAGCAGAAGCTGAAACGAAAGGGAGCCGCCAGTGCCTTTGGCTGTGACCTGACCGAGTATCTGGAAAGCTCAGGACAGGATGGTAAAGTGCCTTCGCTTACCCCCCCCCACCCCTTTCTTTTTGTTTGAGGGCGAGATGGATTCAGTTCACAAGTTAATGTAGTCTAGGCCTGTGGGCGCAGTGTACTTTTTTTTCTTTTTAAAGAACACGTATGATTCCTAAGGTGCACCGCGCTGCCACCCCGACGTGCAGAGGTTGTGGCGGTCCTTCCGTTGGTCGCACACCAGCCGTTAATGGGCGGTGCTGCTTCAAGTTTAACCGGCTACCTCTGCGGGCTGGGGGTGGGAGCTCCAGAGGTCCTGATCGCAAGTTTTGGATGTCGGAGGGGAGGGATGCGGGCTGGACTTGTGGGATGGTGATCAGTGGGCTTCTCCGGGTACATAATTATGACCGCCTTGGGTGTCCTTCCCGGGATCTCCAATTTCATCTGCTCACATCTTTTTTTATTAATGTGCTGGAAGGCAGGGGGTGCGGTGGATCCTGGCTGGGGGAGTGGTTGCACAAACATTTTCTGAATTTCTGAACTGATGCCAGATATATAGTACCTCCCTCCCTCCCCTTCCCAACCCCCCAGACCCTTTACCTCCTCTTGGCTTTCAGATTAGCATTTGGTGTGTCAGACAAGAAGAGTGCTGTAAAAAGGTCAGAGGGCCTGGATTTTAAAATAGTTTAGAGTATATAAAAGAAAAGGAGAGCCAGCGTCTCTGTTTTCAAGGTCAGATTGGATTTTTTTTTTTAAAGGGAATCCTGCAGAGTAGAGACGATTTAAACATTTGTTGGGGGAGAGGGAAAGAAAACAATCTAGAATACAATAACAGCATTTGAAGTTAGAAGTTTTTAATCATAGGAAAGTTGTGGAAATTGAGCGGAAAATGACTCCTTTTGTAAGGTTGACTGGTCTTGCGCATACCGTGACAAAAAGGCCTTGTCTTCAGAAACTTAAGTGAGAGAGAAAATAGTCCGCTATATAGGCCTTGTATTTACACATAGATAGCTATAACAAAGGAGGACACTGGAGGGCTGTTTAACGGTGCAGAATAATTCTGCCTACAGGAAAATCATCTCAAAAGCAATTTGATCAGCTCATATCAAACGTGCATCTCAAAAACTGTGCAATGATTTTGTTTCAATTCCTTTTTTTTTTTTTTAAAGACTCAGCACCACCTAGTAATTTGCAGTGGTGTGATATTCCTGAGGTATTCTAGACTTCAGCCTCCTCTGTGTCATTAGGACAAATGGCTTAGTATCTTAGAGCTTGGGGGACCACAGGTTTCAAAACTGCCTCTTTTGAAACCAAGGTTTAACAGTCAACTCATTTCATCCTCTCCAATAATCTGGGAGAGGGCAATTTGAAATAAAATTGGACTGAACTTTTTTGAATGTGATAGAACTCCAAGAGTACATCTTAACCTCTGCCCTCAGAAGTTCAGAAGGAAAGTTTCCCTCCACCTGTTTTTGTGAGGAACTTCAAGTTTAAGTCCAGGTTCACTACAGATGCTCCTGGGATGCCCCTGTCTGCCATGTTGGTGTTATTCTGGGCCCCCCTTCAAGCATGAGAGATGCATGGGGGTGCTTGCTGGTCCCGCCCCATTCTTACAATGTCATAAATCACAGGATGAGCCAGGAATCCCAGCATTCTGCGAAGACACCTCAAAGGCAGACTTTGGCAGCTCTTCTTTCACGTGCTTTATATTTTGGGCTTCCATGCAGATTTTGTTTGAAAAAAGAAAAAGGGAAGGGGGCTACTGCTTAAAGAAAAAAAATTGAAAACCAGTACCCAGTGTTCCCAGCCCTGAGGGGGCGGGGAAGAGAAAGCAAGGAAGCCCAAACAGGTAAATTGACCTGCCTAAGGTCATACAGTAAATGACAGAGGGTGCAGAGGGACCTGGCTTACCAGGCTCCTCTCCCCTCCCTAGCTTTCTCATCTAGGCCAACATTCTCCTCTAATGATTTTTTTTTCCTAAATTGAAAGCAGACAGCCCTGTCACAGGATCGGCAAACTTTCAAGTCTGACATACCTGAATACAGTTTAGCTTTGAAACAAAAGGAAACTGACCCAGTTAATGATCTAGACACCATTCTTGTGCCACATGAGAATTAGGCATGCAAAATAAACAGCTTATATAAATGAGAGTGATTAGGATTTCTTTTTTGCCACATCTAAAACTATTTATGTAGTTGTCTTTTATTTTTCCTGTAGCATCAGTAAGCAAAATGCTAATGGTTTTTTCTCAAAAAATGTGTTTTCCTCACGGACTTTCTGAAACATGTATTCATTAATAGACAAGGCCTGGACTCTGCTTCCGGGAAGGAAAAGCTGATCTGGGCACTGCCCCTCTGCCCACCACCTTGGAAGTTCAACCCAGAATCCTGAGGGTGACAAGTCAGCATGGTAAAGAAACCAGAAGGCTGGGGAGGGCTTCACAAGATAGACATGCTTATTGCTGAATTCTGGAGTCAAGGGTAAGGTGATGATCCTGCAAAGAGACAGAGAAAGTTGGATCCACGTCTGGGAACAAAGGGCAGAAGAAGATAGAGATATAGGGATGCCAAGAGAGCCCTTGTGCTTGGCCAGGGAGGGAAGGCCCCAAGCTGAGGTGGAGGACAAAGCTGGTGACAATTTGCTTGTGCTCAGGCCATCTGAAAATGGGGAAGCTACACCCCTGAGGCTGAGCACAAAGGATGAATGCCATCCACTTCAGTCATTGGCTCTGGCCAGCCCTGCTACCTTCAGCTGGATAAATCTGCCAGGCCAGGGTGTGTGGGTGACAAATAGGTGTCCAGCTTAGAGCGGAAGCTGCTCAGGGCCAAGTGTCATCTTTAATCTTTAGGAAGCTGATGAAAACCAGAAGCCCTTTCTCATAGAAATGTATGCTTGTGCGCGCACGTGCGCGCGCACACACACACACACGCACACACACACACAAATCGTGTATACAGTTTCCGTGGGCATCCACACAGATGCCAAGTTCAGACCCTGCTGTTGATCATCCCAGCTGCACACAGGCCTGATGTGAAGGGTCAGTTTCCCCCTTTTGCTTCTTTGACCATTTTCCTCCCACCTGGTATGGCACAGAGTTGCTCATGGCCAACTTGGCCAGCACAATGCCTGCCACCCCAACCCTCAGCTCTCCCCTGGGAACCAGATAATGTTATCTTCCTGGCTGGAGTAGAGGGAGAAGAGCGTCCCGCCCTCACTGGTATGCTGAAAATAGTTTTGGGGGTCTTCTTTTTGACCACTGAATGAGAAGGCCATTGCTTGCAGCTATGTAATAAAACCCCATCATTTTGTCACCTGTGGTTGGAAGGCTGCGGGCGAAGCCCTGTGAGGCCAGAGCGCATCCACAAGCATTTCCCACCTCTCTGTTCTCAGCCCAGTGCCCCGGGTCTCCCCACACGGCTTGGAAGTGCTGGGGCCAGGAGACAAGGGACCAGTAAGAGAACGTTATTGGAAAAGCTGTCTTCACTATGAAGGCGGAGGACTTTCTCACCCTTCTGAGCAAATCTGTCATTTTATTTGATCCCTGGGAAAAGGTGATATTGTCTGACGCAGTGGTTTGCCATGGTGGCGGCACATTAGAATCACCTGAGGAGCTTTAAAAAAAAAAAAAAGGTGATGCAAGGTGTTGCCCAGGTCCCATCTCAGAACAATTAAATCAGAATCTCTTGGTGCCCAGGCAGGCATGGGTATGTTTTAAAAGCTTCCTAGATGATTCTGATGTGCAGGCAGAGTTGTTTGCTGTGTAGGGTTTTACAGAGCATTTTCTCCCTGGATAAGGAAACTTGACTATTCAGAATGCGTCCTCTGAATGTTTGATAAGAACTGTGAGCCTTTTTACGACTAAGATTTTTTTTCTAGTTCTTATCAGATATAAAAGGAAGAAAAAATATATATATAAAATTTCTGAGGCTAAATCATTCTCTCAGTTTGTTTATTGGTTTATTTAACAAATAGGGATTGAGGCACGGTGGGGGTACTGTGAGAGAGAAAGAAACATGCATCCCAGACTCGAGAAATTTACAGTCTAAGGGATGTGAACAAACTTTCAGAAATGAATGGCTCAATGAAGCTTTGAAATTAGCTGTCATAACGGAAGGAGAACATGTAAAAGCTACTGTCTACAATCAAATAGATAAGATACCCAAACATAAATAGGAACAAAATCTTTCTGTTCAAGGCAGGGTTTAACACTGCCTGGAGAACCAGGGCAAGTACTCTCTTTGGCTTAGCCTTTTCCTCCCCAGCATCTTGCCAGGCATATCCTTATCACACCCTCCCTACCTCCTTCTTCATTCTTTAGGTCTCAGCTCCTTCTGGAAACTTCCCTCACCTCCCAAGTCAGGTGCCCCTGCTGGGGACTCCCATTAGGAGTTCTAGAAGCTTACTCTCTGGCATTGAATTCCAGCTTTGCCTGTTCCTGACCCTGGTGTAAGTTACTTACCCCCCCAGGCCTCAGTTTCCTCACTTGTGAAATTGTGATAAGAGGACTGTTATGAAGATAAATGAGTTCATACTGGCAAAGCACTTGGCAGGGGGGCGCCTGGGTGGCTCAGTTGGTTAAGCGACTGCCTTCGGCTCAGGTCATGATCCTGGAGTCCCGGGATCGAGTCCTACATCGGGCTCCCTGCTCAGCAGGGAGTCTGCTTCTCCCTCTGACCCTCTTCCCTCTCGTGCTTTCTATCTCTCATTCTCTCTCTCTCTCAAATAAATAAATAAAATCTTTAAAAAAATAAAAAAATTTAAAAAATATAAAAAATTTAAAAAAAAGCACTTGGCAGGGGACATGCATGTGGACAGCTATGAATGTAGCTATTATTATCGGAAGACCCCTGACTTGCCCTAGTATAACCACATACCATCCATGACTGAATGAGGGAGGGCTCCAATGGAACAGGAAAATGATATGGTCAGATGGGTTAACCGGTCATGAAGAGGGATGGCGAGCAGATTGATTGCCCCACTGAATGAAGGGGCCGTTTCATGCAGGCATTTCCCAGGGCCACCGGGGAGTGGACCATCA